GGGAAGGTTAACTATGTAGTAATTCTTCCAGGTGATGATTTACTATCGGAAAAGCTTTCTTTTCTTAAATAATACCGACAGCAATATTTTTATCAAAATATAGAATATTTCCACTAGCACTAAATCCTTAGCTCTTTGAATAATATTGTAATAGTTGATGTCAGTAATTGGGTGATGCTTTTCAGCTTTAATGAATCTATTAATCATGCAGATTTAACCCTACATTCTAACGTTTAATTTTTTTTATCTTTTCACATTTTTGCTACGATGTTTTGATTCTTACCCGATTTCAATCCTTTTGATTTATATTTTAACACATTTATTGTCATAACTTAGCAAATATTCATATCAGTTTTGTGAAAAAAGTTAAGATTGGTGAACGGTTATTTACTTTTTTCACCTACATATACTTTTCTCTAATAGCACTTTTGAAATATAATTATCTCACAAAAGCTTTAATTGCACTAGAGATATTTGGCATGGCTTTTTTAAATTGTCGTTTTTAACTTATTATACATATTTATTGTTTCCCGAAGTAAGACATATAAATATTTATTTCTGAGTAAGTTCTTATTCTGACGAATGTCACGTAAGAAGCACACATTAAGGAGTCAGCATAAAAAAAACTATCCCAGAAAGACTTACAAAATTCCGTAATTGCTTACTAAGTATTGTTAATTTTTAAAGTCCTATTCTAATTTGATAAGGCTTAGTGTTCATGATAAGTAAAAAAACAGATTTGTCTGAACAAGCAGTATATATTCCAAGAAGTAGCACAATTTACTCGTAAAATCTAAGTCAGTTGTGATCATTTGGTCTAAACCAGTAGAAAAAGTACATTTATGATATTACAAACAATCAAATAAAATCAAAAGGAAAAAACCTATTCCTTTAAATATGAAGATAATGAATAGCAATAATGCTCAAAAGTCCATTGAAACAATACATATTGTGAGCAGAGCAAAATACGGACCTCTAAAAAACAGAGGTGGAATCAGGTACCATGGAGAAGTAGGCAACCCCTGTCGGCTGGTCATACCTGCCTTGTGCTCTTTGTCATGATCGGGTAAACGGAGAAATCTGAGTCAATTCGGTATGAAAATAATGGCCTAGCAATTTGTATGGCAGACATCAGTTAACATTCGATCTAACGACAGATTGTTTTTGCAAACAAGGTCATTGCATCGATCTAGAATTTGCGACTTTTGACTTCAAACGAGATGATAGTTACCCTTGAATCATGAATTGAAATATTTTAGAAAAGATTCCTTATATCGGTTTTTTTTCCTTTTATATATATATATATATATATATATATATATATATATATATATATATATATATATATATATATATATATATATATATATACAAACAAAAAGGAATTGTTTTAAAAAAAGCAAATGGTTTATGTCATATTCATGGTTTCATATAATGGATGTTAAGGTTATTTTTGAATTGTGGTTAGAATATATGTACATATAAACCATAAATAAATTGTAATTGTGTATAAATCACTCTATAAAAATTGTAACAATCAGACAGGCATAAAACCTGAAGATTTATTTTGTATGTATAAAATAACAAATGCTTGTGTTTATCATTGTCGTATTGTATAACAATTTCTTATTTTATAAACTTGCAAAGTAGCAATGATTCCAACTATCACTTTTATTTCTTATTTTTTCCACAAACTCTATCTGAACAGTTTCATATGAAAAGACTTCTGATCTAATCATACAGCATTCGTTTCTGATATGCCTATCATGCCTTTTTGTTTTAACTTGAGAAAAGTAAAAGAAAAAAGCAATGTAGAATAAACAGAAAAATTTACTTTGCAGTTTTAGAATGACAGTCATGTATATGCACATTCAGACTTATGCAGAAAGTTTGTACGTTGGTAATGAGCAAAGAAAAATGCACATAATAATAAAGATAAGATAAAGCATTAAACTTAAGTGCAAAGAATTGTGTTCAGAGCATCAATAAAAAACAATAGAAATACTAAGAATGCTACAGTTCATCGAATATTGACATGTGGTTCTTGAATTGTATTGAAACCAAAGTCGGAATATAATTCAGGTTTAAAATTCTCTCAGTTTTTTTTTAAATATAATACTTTTAGAAAGATTTTGTTGTAAATACACATTTTTTAACAAATCAACATATGAAAAGATATAATTTTAAATATCTTGTTTCTGTAGACATTACTTTGAGAAATACCAATTAACATTCTCATTATTATATTCATTTCACCGGTCATCCACCTTAATAAAGATGGTTTTAAAAGATCATCTAGTAAAAATTGCAGACAAGCTTTTACAATTTATAGACAAGTTGTGATATAAACATTTGATGTCTGTCAAAACGTCAATTTCATTGATCCCTTGTGTCAATTCTGACAAAACAGATAAGTACACTTGAATAACCGACATTCTTATGACATTCCCTTTGAAATACTCTTTCGAATATATTTATAATTGATCACTCGTTTGTTTACATGTGTAAATTGATTTATGTTTGCTTTTTATTATTTCCAAGTTTAGAATTAACACGTGTAATTTTGTAACTTTTTGATTCAATTTACATAAAGGTTACGTTTCTTTATCAACATATATCGTTTGATTTTATCCAAAGAGTCAAATAACTCCAATCATTCAAAATTTAAGGATAATGTGACTTATGGTGAAATGTAAGAAAATGATATTATTTTTACACTTTACTTGCACGCCATGGTTAATACTCTTATCTAATCATAATGTGAAGTAATGTGAGAAGAACAACATATTTTCCTGAATAAATATACATGCTTTATTCCAGCATATTTTAATCAACGAAGAAACAAATTTAATCGATAATAAACTACAACACATTTATTTAAAAAAATGTTAACATTGCTATGGTTTTCCTTCTATTATATAAAACAGAACATGCTTAATTTTGTGAAATTTATAATATAATATACCATTCTTTAAGTAATTATCATGTATGAATTTTTTCCCAGCACATTTCAATTAACGGAGAAACAAACATAATAAATTAATGTAAACATTGTTATGGGTTTTTTTTTTCGATTTCATAAAACAGAGCATGTTAATTTGGTGACTTTTATCATATTATTTACCGTTCTTTAAGTAATTATCATTCATAAGTGAAATGAAATCACATTTATTTTTTTTTTCAGGTCTTAGTGCAAGTTTTACAATGACTTTCCTTACTTTCGACAGACCTTTTCAGTATTCAAGTATGCAGATTATTTATTAAAGCTGATTTTTCCTCAATTTTTGTGCATTGCAGTGCATCAAAGTCTCCATAGGATTATGCATAATTTGTCTGATTTTAATAGATAATATGAAAAACCTTATCAACTCATACTTAGAACTTGCAAAACACTTCAAATAAACATATTTTTGAGAAATATTTATTCTGGTTGATAACATTGTCCTTCGTGATCATGCACAAGTGTAACCTTATATCATTTCCTATTAAAAATATATGATGCATGAATACCTCTGTTCCTTGTACACATGTATACGATTTAATACATAAAACCGGGATAATTTTTCATTTTGACCATTATGAAGTTATTAACACGATTATAAAATTCATTTATTATTCATTACTTTCAAACAATTAAGAACTTCTGAAACTGCGTTTCAGTAAATGAAGTATAATTCAAACAAAGGACCATAACTTTCAAAATGACATTTTACGAAGAAAAAGTAAAAAGTTCAGCATTGGCTAGTTTCTGGTTTTATGACACAATGTTAAATGTGCTTCATTTTAGGAAAAAATGGTGATGTATTTTGAGTCATAAAAAACGAATAATGGACATTTTCAAAACTTTGCACTTTAAATGTACGTTTCTTGCATAAACAGAGCTTTAGTGCACGTGCTGTTGATTTCACCAAAATATTGTTGTTTCACGACCACAACGATTTATTTATTTCCCACCCTTAAAAACAGATTAAAAAATTAATTTTTTATTTGTTTTCCATGACTAAAATGATTATATCTCCAAAAGGTATTTAGAATCATTTATATGTATGAGCTTGGAGGTAATGTTTTATTAATCTTAAAACTCATTTAAGTTTTTACTCTCTTCAACCAACTGCATAAGTAATGGAAAACCAAACACATTTACTTTGAAACGCACATAGCCATAATGTCTTTATCCTAAAAGTACAAGAACAGTCCAATGTTTCCATTGTTTCATTCTGAATAAGTTTGTTAAAATGACAAAAAAATTTAATCATTGTGTTTGAATGCCTCTGAAACATTGCGCCATGTTAAACGGTAAGGAAAAATATTCAATGAAATATTAATACTATTGACTTTACAGAAAGTTATTATATCTATAATATACCTTGCAAATTTTACTAGCACTCATAAGTATATTTGTCACGTGATGTAAGATAACGTTTAAACGCACTTTTAGACATGGGAATCCGACCTTAATGTTACTTTATACAAGATATATTGAATGCATGTATATCATACCACTAGTATTGAATTAACAAAGTATTCAATGTATGCAAGAAGGATAGTTAACTTATCACCGTTACATTTAAAATGTTTAGTAATTCAACAAAAAAATGAAAGTCTGGAATTTCGATATACCAAGATTGTGACTCTCTCGAAAATCAAGTACATGTGTACTAATAAATACTTAAAACCATTAATCAATTTATGCTATTTAATTTAGATTTTTACATACCAGATCTTATTATTATATTTTGAGAGAATCTGAACAATAGTTCTCTAAAAATAAAAATGTTTTCTCTCTCTCTCTCTCACACATGTACATGAATTCAATTTTCAAATGAATTCAAGTTATCATACATGTAATATCATAGTTTATTTCACAAGGACATCATACCCCTTGACCGAATTGATCACATGTCGAAATCTTATCTAAAGCAATTATGTAAAGAAAATTCACGTGTTTCCTTCTATAAAGGAATATGTCATGTTTTCAAGTCTTCGACATCATTATTGTGTTTCCTAAGAATTACAATGCTTCTACACTTTGTAAGTTTTAGTTGTCTTTTATCTGCAGTTAGAGCGCAGGTTTTTAGTCTTGGTAAATGTCCCACTGTTAAAACACAAGATTCCTTCGACATAAATAAGGTAAGAATAAAATTTCTTGTCATTAAAAGTTTGAAGAATAAATCATTCAATGTATAATGGCAAAGAAATATAACTATTTTTAGTCAATTACTACATCTACATCCCAGCAAATATATTTTTAAAACAATAAAATATTGAACTGTCAGAGGTGATAATTATATCCTTTTATTGTTTCTACCGTAAAAATAAACTTATCTCTAAAATTTTGAATTTCGTTATCTACAAAATTCTTTCTAGTATTTGGGGGACTGGTATGAAATCTATAAATTCGAAGCAAGTTTTGAAGGAAAACAAAGATGCATACGTGCTAACTATCAGTCCAAACCAGATGGTCATATTAGAGTGCAGAACACTGGAATAGAGTAGGTATCTTTTTTTTTAAGAATACTAGAATGATATTACATAAATTGTAATGTAATTATAAAATCTTTGCCAGCAATAAATGACAGGCTTATAATATGCTGTACATCGTCTAGGTTTGCCATTTTTTTTCCAGAGATGGTAAGACCATCACAGCCATAGGAGATGGATTTGCACCCGATAAAGACTTTCCAGCTAAACTTCAAGTTAAATTTTCAGACAGTAAGTAAAATTAATTTATATGTCTTTTTTGAAAAAAAAAATCAGTATCTTCACATTTTTCCGTTTAATGTTTGGTTTGTGTTATAAATGTTATATCGTGTTCAATTTAAGATTTTTTTTTCAAGCTTTATTTGGTTATATTTTTCGAACATGTTTTCAGAGGCTCCATACGGTAAATACTGGGTATTAGACACCGATTACGACAACTATACGTTTATCTATTCATGCACAGACCTCGCTGGTGTGAGCCATATAGAGTTTGCATGGATCCTAAGTCGTAAAAGGACATTAGATGAACAATACAAAACAAAACTTTATGACCTTGCCACATCCTTTGGCATCAAGACATCGAACTTTCAAACGGAAGATCAGACTGGGTGTTCCTAACTACATGTGTCTCTTTTTATCACTGTCTGTCTGTCCCACAAATATATGTATTTACTGACTTTTTGTAAACATGTTTTAAGTTCTGTAAATAATTGCTTCATTAAAGTGTATGATTAATTACTTCCTAGCTGTCTGTGTCTACATATTCTATTTGTGGACCATGTTTAATTGCTCACACTGCAAATACTTGAAAGTAAACAGTGACTCATGAGACGTCTTCAGGAACTACAAGAAGGAAATGTTGGTGGAAATTAATTTGTGATTTTATGGCAGCTAGCACTGCACTGTTAGAAACGCAGAAAAAGACAACCAAGAAACTTGTTTAACGGATGTACCTAATCGATGAACAAGAGCATGCAACGTAATTTCACTGACCTTTCTTAAAAAATGCTTTTTAAGGCAGTTAACTTAAATGATGCATTAAACAACAGTGTGGGACTTTCTTTGATTAAAGGGTGTATTCATCAACGTTAACAGAATACTTTGTGTAGCTAGATTAAATGGTTGATTTTCCTTCTTAGGTCAAAGACCCTTTCGTAACTGAGTTATTTGTTGTTGTATTCTTTTTTATGATATGGTTTTGATATACGTAATGATATGTTCTATAAAAATACAAAATAATTTTCTGGAATAAAATGATCACGAATTTTGAAGAGTGTCGAGAAACTTGCATCATATGAGCATACCAATATATCTTTTAAAGATTTAATGGATATGGACTTTCGAAAGACAAGATGATGCTTTGAGAAATTTGGAGGGCGACTTCAAAACTCGTTTTAAATATTATTCTTCACTGAAAAAATCTGTAAACGGTTTGTCCCATGCATATGCATTGCTTTGCTTCAATATATGGTGCATACGTGGTTTCAAAACTGCACTTAATTTTTTGAATTTCAACGTTGATCTATTGTTCTGTAAACAAAAGCCAACTTTCAGTATTTTTTGCTTTTTTAATAGAGGAATTTCGTTTTGCTAGTTTTTGTACAGTCAAAACCATTTAGCAGTTGGACAATTTTAAAAATGTTGAATGATTCAAGTAATTAATCAATAATAGCACTTAATCTATTTTGATTTCAAGTGCAATTTTAAATGCAAGGAGTTTAAATAGATTAACAAGTTCAATGTCCTTTCAAACAATTTTCTTTTTGTAAGAGAATGTACATTTTTTTAAATACATTTATAATATCTAAGTTGTATTCTTCTTGATTGAACTAATTTCTTCTCCTTCTCAATTGTAATCTTTTCTAAGCATAAAAATATGTTATAGCGAGCGCAGCGAGCGGCGCGAAGCGCCGCTCGTCACTGCGAGCTCTAACGACAACGCCTGGGCGAAGAGAAAATTCGTACTTCTGCACATTCATTCAATAGAATTTTTTTCCGCAGTAATTCTGACCCACAATGCATCGCTTCTTGTTCTCGCTGCTAACTTCGTTCACGCGGTGACAACAACTAAAATTTCACAAAAAATAAACTCACCTTAATTAATGGCTATTGCATGCAGATAGTAGATTAAACGTTCTTTGTTAAAATATTTGCACTTTTTAAACTTTGTTTATGGAAATGCAGCTAACATACGACTCTTGTGACGTCACAGTCTAGACGTTCCAAATGTCTCGTGCGGTTTGAAGAGGCGGATCTTAAAATGAAGTGAACAATGCGCTCGCCCCAACGGTCGCACCGTCAACATATTAGTTGTGTCTACTTATCAAATATTTTTTTTTTGAAATATAATAGAATACGTTTATAAATATATACCTTATGTTAAGGACATGTGATCTAACAGAGAGTTCAGATATTGAACCTTTCCGTCTATTAACAATCCAGTGATATTTCAGTGACATTGGTTTATAATTGATAATTTTATTCCTTGTTAGCATATACTACCTACTGGACCGTATTTTCACCGACACATTTTATACCAATTGTTAGGTCTTTGATATACTAAATTATTCCGTCTACCTGATCAATACATACGGCTCACGGCGGGTGTGACTGGTCAACAGGGGATGCTTACTCCTCCTAGGCACTTGATCCCACCTCTAGAATTTTCAGTGGTCGTGTTTTATGTCCTGTTCACGGATTTGTATTGTTTGTAAGTCTTTTGAGATCGATCACTGTTCGTCATCTTCACCCATTTCATCTTAGAGAATCTTTTCAACATTTTCATTGATTAGGCTGTTTAAAGAAGAGAAAATGCATATTTATATGTAAGAACCTGGTCGTTGTTTACTTAATCTTTACACTGATATAATGTGCCACAAAGTTTTCAATCCTAAGCATTCATTAATATCCTTCATTCCAAGTCCATCCATGAGACATTAAAAAGCAAGTCAATAATGTATGATTAAGCACAGCATTGTTTAACGAATTTTGATCAGTTTATGTATTTTGACTGACATGTATTCTTTTATTGTGGTTCATGTAAAACATTAAATCACGCGTCCATATAATATAAGCATAACTGGCACCCTGTCTGATGCCAGTCATCTCGCAAAGTTATTTTCCTTGCATGAAATATGTGGAGACAACGAACAATATTCGAGCTCAAAAGTCCATTAAACATACAAAATGACATTTTACATATGACATAAGACACTCTGATGAATCCTTATTATACTGTAAATCACTTTTTTTTATTCACGAGAACTTTATTTTCGCGTAATTAGGCGAGACTATCTGCTCGCGAAAATTTCATTCTCGCGTATGATTCTACTTTTAAACATCTTATATATATAGAGCAATATCCAAAATTCGTGAAAATTTGATATTGCTCATAAATATCAAACATAAATAAAATCTCACAAAAATTAGTGATTTACGTGTATTTACACCTACATGTATTGCATTTTAAACGTACTGCACAAAATAAGTAAGTCTGTTTTGTTTGCCATCGGTTGCATCATCACATTTGACTTCATCAGAGGCAATTGGCAAGTTTTACCATTTACTCATTTGTCACAACGGATTTCAGATTCCCTTGCCATGCATGCAGCTAACAATTATTTATTATTTTTTGTACTAATTTATGTAACATATAAACCATTTTGATACATATGTTTTGAATTACGTTTTATTGCTAACAGAAGTGCTTTTTCTCCATGTGCAAGGTTTTTTTTCTGCGCATAAAATCCACGGTTCAGAGCTGCAGAAGAGATGGCGTTTCCCGAAATAAAGGTGAATGATCCTTCATGTCATTTTTAGTACATAGTTTTGCAATACACTGTCAATGGATATTGTTGATTGCATAGGCCTCGGTATGTTTTGTCCGCACGAAGCTAAATCAAGTCAAATCAAGCCCAGATAACGGGGATCCGATGACCATGCATTACACGCAAGAAATATCTCAGAACTCCATTTCAACAACACAAGTTGTTAGCAGAGCTCTGAAAAAAAGGTCCTCTGAGATTAGGTGACATGGAGAAGTAGTGAATAAGGTGAAGAAAACGAAAAGTGATCGATCTAAAAAAAATCTACAAACAATACAACTCAGTGAACAGGACATAAAACACGGACCCCCCTGAAGAGTCCAATTTTCTTCTTTAAACAGCCTCATCAATAAAAATGTTAACCGTGTTGAAAAGATTCTATAAGATGAAATGGGTGAAGATGACGAACAGTGATCGATCTCAAAAGACTTACAAACAATACAAATCTGTGAACAGGACATAAATCACGACCACTGGAAATTATAGAGGTGGGATCAAGTGCCTAGGAGGAGTAAGCATCCCCTGTCGACCAGTCACATCCACCGTGAGCCTTATGTATTGATCAGGTAGACGGAATAATTTAGTATATCAAAGACCTAACAATTGGTATAAAATGTGTCGGTGAAAATACCGTCCAGTAGGTAGTATATGCTAACAAGGAATAAAATTATCAATTATAAACCAATGTCACTGAAATATCACTGGATTGTTAATAGACGGAAAGGTTCAATATCTGAGCTCTCTGTAAGATCACATGTCCTTAACATAAGGTATATATTTATAAGCGTATTCTATTATATTTCAAAAAAAAAAACCCACTGGATACTCCAGAGGTGGGATCATGTGTCTAGGATGAGTAAGCATCTCCTGTCGACCGTTCACACCTGCTGTGAGCCCTATGCATTGATCAGGTAGACGGAATATTTCGTAGTCAAATTTAGTATAAAAACATAGGCCTACCAATGGTATGAAACACATCAGCAAAAATACGACCCAATTATAGGTTATATTTGCCAACAAGGTCATTTTAACGACCATAGCTGACTTTAAACGTGGTTGTCGAAACCCCTGTTACATCAACTAATTTTTCAGTAGTCTGCCTCAGTTTGAAAAATGATCGGACTGAGAGCATGCTCTTGAATATCGTATCCGTTGGGAGACGTAAACATCATATGCAGGTATGCGGTATATTACTACATGAATAAATTTGACGATGAAAAGGCTGAAGTCAGATCTTTAATACAATTTAGTTAGATGGCCCTCATCGTCTTTAATCGGAAAAAACATCCAAATATGAAACAGATTGGCAGATTCTGTGGTATCTTTTATCTCGAGTTATCTAGGATATATCAAGTCGACATATGAATGAAAGTAACTATTGTTATTTGGTAAAATGTCGTCGATATATCTGAATGTCGATGTGGACCACAGCAAGTGTTTTATTCTCGTGTAGAAGTTTTTTAATACATTCTGCTTCATGTGAATAAAAAAAACAGGTCGGCTAATAAAGGAACACAATTAGTGATCATCGAAATTCCAAAGTTTTGTTGAAAGACCTCGTCTTCGAAGACTACATAGATGTTGTCAATGAGGAACTCCAGCATCCTTTTAAATATCAACTTCAGGGTACTTGTGTGAGAATCAGAGTGATTTTTAAAAAAGTAAATCTGTTGGTGACCAATCACAAGATATGAAAATTTCTGAGTTTTGTTTTTCTTGAACAAACAGTTGTGTGATATTTAAAAGTCTTAAAAAATTTGGTAATTCTTAATTTTCTAAAAGTTCTCTGGAGTTTTTTTTAAAATCCACATTTGATTTACCCCACTTCTAGAATATGCTGTAGCACAGTACGTCGATCTGAAGTAACTTTACAACAGTATCTTTACAGCAATATTTTGTAAGAAATAAAGAGAGGTTTGGTCGAGCATTAGCTGTACCGGGAATGTATCTTTGTAAAGATTTTTATGAAGTTAATGAATCCAGTATAGGTAGGGTAGATCGAACTCACCTTTGTTGACCGGAATGTTAAAAGTATTAAAGACTGAAGTGTGACTTTGGAGAATTTCATCCTTAGAAAATGAACTG